ATTTTAGCTTGTTAATTCATATGAAGACTATTCAAGTACATGGAGTCTTTTCCTAATAGCAACTGTTTCCATTTAACTAATGCATAGAAGCAACCATTTATTGCTGAATTGTGAAATGGGACTGATTTGTATAATCAAAAAACATCCCTTCCCCAGTTAGATATTCTTCGCATTACCATTAGTGATGAATATTTGATCATTACTGTGTTGCCCTCTTTCAAAATTATGTCATCTATATGAAAACAAGTACTGTACTAGAGTTGTTCAGTATGATTATATGCAATCAGGCAAATGATAACAATTCTAAAACAAGCAGATTTTTTTTCAAACTAGATTTATTACTTTAGGGGGAAAGGTCAAATTCCCAGCAAGTCAGTACTATGCTGGCTTTCGTCAGTGGGTCCTAATGCATAAGTAGTGTTTTTGGCTGAGACGTATCAAGGAAAAAATGATAAAATAACTGAGAATTATTTAGTTTCTTGTTAGCATTAATATTGCTAGAACTTACCAGGACTTCTTACTTATGAAGCAAAACACTACTTTATATATTTATTTCTAGTATCAGATTTTTCTCTTACCAAATACTTTTAAGGTATCATATAATAATGGTACTAAGAAAATCAATAAAATCAAATAGCAAGCAAAATAGTCAATTAAAATAATTTAAAATAGCATTGAAATAATACCAAAAAAACCACAGACTTAAAAAGAAAATCTAAAAGTCACGTGCATAAAATTACTTTGAATAATAACATAGTAACTGTAATTATCAAAGGACTAAGAAAAATAAAAAGTCTTTGCCAGGCTCCAAAAAGGTAAAAAAGGATGGTTCTTTCTTGGGAAGGTATAATGGGAAATGCTGCTAAAGTTTTTTAAAGGATTCAGGATCATGCACACATACTAATTTTTATATTTAGAATTATATAATATTGGCCCAGTGGGAATCAAATCCAAGTTTTGATAAAGGGGAAAAAATGCTTACTTTCAGAAATCTGACAGTTTGGTGTTTTTTTTTATTTAAACATATATTCTCAAACAAAATTATGGTTGAATTACCACAGGAATAGTGTAATACTAATTGCAATCTGTAATGCAGCTATAATGATATGAAAAAGTAAATTTACCTGTTATGATATTTATGCCAGACAATGAACTATAATTTCAGACAAACAAACCACAAAAATAATAGAATAGAAGAAAAATTGTTTTATTTTACAAATACATTAATTGCTGATTCCACGTAATAACAATATCATGTTACAAGTTGGAAAGTTGGCCTCACAATCTTTTCGACATTAGCTATTTTCACATATAACACTAAACTATGATTTAGCAATGGGCAAATGAGCCTATGTCTTGTGCATTCTTCAAATTATTTATCTCATTGTTTTGCACAAGAGGGCTTCTCATTCCTTTCTCGTAAATGGACAATAGTAAGAGGCATAGACACATTTATTTCATTTTAATTAATCAAAATGCACAAATATTAGTTTTAACTATGATTTGTCAAAGAAAGACAATTTCAGGTTGTTCATATAAAATAAAGTGTTAATTTTAGTTAACAGTTCAAAGTGATAAACTGTAGCCAGCTGAAAATGGAAGAAAATGCATCTTCTCTCCTCCTTATAGTTATTCTAGATCTCGGTAGCACAGGAAAAAGCAAAATTAGGCAAGGAATAGCAGGATTAGGCATGGAATACTAAGCAATCATTTAATCCAGCTTTCCTTAACTGATTCTCTTCAGAAGTGTTGGCCTACCTCTTCTATAAATCCTCAAGCTGCATGGATAATGGGAAATGCTATGCAACACAAATGAAGCCACCAAGTTAAAAAGGATAATTTACACTTACTTTTCTAATAATATAAATATATCACTAATATATCACTAGTAAATTTCCACTAGCTCAACAAGATTTTATTTCCTCCTTCCCACACTAACTGGCCTACTCTTTAAATCTTCTTCAATAGGATAGAAGAACATGGATGGAGAGTTTAGAGCAGTGTTTCTCAATCTTGGCAACTGTACAATGCCTGGACTTCAACTTCCAGAATTCCATAGCCAGCCATACTGGCTGGGAATTCTGAAAGTTGAAGTCCAGAGAGCTTAAACTTGCAAGATTGAGAAACACTGGTTTAGAGGAAGGATTAGCCTACCTCTTTTTCAACTGAAAACTCATCCCAGTAAGGCAGGGGTGCCAAACTTGCAGCTTGCGGGCCAGAGACATCACATGCAGGCCATGCCCACACTGACTCCGCAAAGGCAAAAAATATCACAATATGTCACATCATGGGATGTGATCAAGTTTGACACCCGTGCACTAAAGGAATCAAAGCACTGCATTCCAACCAGAAAGAGGAAAAAAATGAGATTAACCTTTTTGCAGCAGCAACAGCAACAATTACCTAATGTGTTAACACTTAAGTTGCATTAGTGTGCTAATAAAGCTTGCTTACAGTATATACCAGCAAACTATATTGTTTTTCCATAGTATGTATATATGCAATCAAAATAATTCAGAGCTTTCTGATGGCTGGATTTCTGTGATATATATATTTACAAATGTGTATCTATTAGATCCACAAGTTACTTTTAGAACTTAAATTTCATATATTTTGATATATTACTTCATGAGTTCAGACTTCATGAGTGAAATATCTTAGATTGCCGCATTCCAAGGAACATATTGGAAAGCTATTTGCAAGAGTTCCTTGGTGCTGTATTGGTGCAGCATTTTCTATCTGTGGTGAGATATATGGAGGTTTGATTTCTTGGCAACTTGTTTAAAGAAGTTTTGTTTCTATTTTTGACTTTGGGTTATGCTTTGAATTCAGTGCCCCTCCATTCTTTTTTAATTATTATTGTAAATTCTCACTGTATCTTTGTATTTAAGCTCATTGCAACCAAGACTCTTACAGTTTTGTATAAACATGATGAAATTACCCTCCGTAATGTCCACTATCTTTAAACAATTGATTTATAAACATATCAATGAGTGTTTAAATCAAAAGCTTAATGTCATAATCTTATATCACTATTGTAGGTCAGCTCTGCTGTTGTTGTTAAACCACCTAAATGTCATTAAAGCCAGTTGCCTGATTTGGAGTAACTGAAATGTACAAGATAATTGATAACGTAATGTAGCACCTTAGTTATATAATATAGCACCAGCTTCAGAGTTAAATTGCTGTGACAATATGCCAACACATTTTGGTCTAGTGGTTAAGGCACCAAACCAGGAGACTGTGAGTTCTGCCTTAAACATAAAATCCAGTTGACTGACTTTACCCCATCACCCTGTTTCATCCCCGCACATCAGGCTCAGGTGCAAACCATTCTGTCAATTCCTGCTACAACCAGTGGATCAACATTCCAAATTGGGACTCTGTATATTTGCTGAAAAAAATAGTGACTGGCTGGTTGATGGTTCAGATATCTGCCATAGGATTGTCCAAGGCCACAGTAAATCTATCTATCTGTCTATCTATCTGTCTGTCTGTCTGTCTGTCTGTCTGTCTATCTATCTATCTATTTTACACAGATACATACTGTAGCTTCAGGCTGAGCTACTTGATCAAGCACCCATTGATACTACTGGCTATGTGAGAAAATGAGCATTTTTCAGCTTTACTTTTATGTAAACTGGCGGTTTTCAAACTTTGTAAACTCAAAGAATATTTTCCACATCAATTTGTTTACCAAGGAGCCCAGATATGTCTGCCAGGCAACATATACATCTGCCAAAAGTTGATAAATATGGCTCATCATCCAGACATGCTAGGCTTTGCCACTCCTACAAACTAGATCTATGTACCTTAAAATATAACCAAGATATATTTTACAACTCAGATGAAGAGCAGTAATAGTTGACAGTAATCAAATTCCTTCCTGAAATGCTGTCTTTTCATTACTATTTTTTTTCACTGAGAAATCCTAAACTTCTAGGAAATATGGTTTAACCATCTTTGGCAAAAACCAATATAGCTGATAAATATTATGTGATTTTGGGTTAACCATGCAGGTAATTTAATAACATCATTATATAATTAAAATAGAAAAGTCAGTTCTTCAACGAGTGCACCGAAAGTCTTTTAGGTCTATGAAGAAAGTTCCTGCTGCCTGCTTTAAGAAGCTGCTCTTATGAAATAGCTTATGTTGTACTTGTTTTAATTAACAGTGTGTTTATAATGAATAGGTAGATGAACCATAGTTTCTCTGAAAACAATGAAAAAAAAATGGGCATTGTTTTCAATAGAGTCAGGATTTTGCCCTAGATTAGCACCATTTCTGCATGCTATAAAAAGTCCTATGCAGCAGTTTGATAGTAAAGTTTTCTGGTCTGAGTTATTAAAATATAATATTCCATAGAATCAGGCTATTTATATCAATGTAGAATAATAATTATCACTAAAATATAAATGCATGTATGTTCTTTGTTATAGCTTCAGCTGCAATATAGAATCAGGTATGTACAATTCAGAAAGCACACTATACTACTTCTGAAAGTGATTACACTTTAAATATCACTCATTTTTTAAAAAAAATATTAAATATATAGCATTTTTTTTTGCTCACCATTCCTTCTAGTACCTAGAAAGGGTTATAACCTATTCCACAAACTAAAATCATACTGGACCCAAAGAGTTTTTTTCCCTATGGCAGAATGAGTCCCTCGCTATATTGACAGTGATGAGAGGTCAACAGGTTATAAGGTTTACTTGTAATGTTACAGAACTATTTCTTGAGTATCTTTTTGCTAATGAATTATGGAATATAGTTAATGGAACAGCATGTACCCCATAGAACAGGGGTGTCAAACTCAATTTCATTGAGGGCCTCATCAGCATTGCAGTTGCCCTTGGGGGGCCTGGTGGGTGTGGCCAGGGTGGGTGCAGCCTACTGGGTGGGCATGGATGGAGTGGGTGTGGCCTACTGGGTGAACATTGCCAGCTCTACATCGTTCGCATCAAGGGTGCCTATGGGGGCCTAGGCAGGACTGGGACAGATCTGAGGGTCTCTGACAGAAGGAGGTGGAACCAGGGCAAGCACCAAGGTATGGTCCATTTCTTCATTCCTCACAAAGGGTGACACCTCCCCAGCATGCACCCAGAGGGTGGGACCGATGCAGCATGGGCTGGGTCCTCGCTGTTTCCAGATGGCCTTGTGGAGCTAAGACTGAATGCATTTCAGCATAGATGGCCACTACAAAATTGTACATTGGCTCCCAGCCGGCCAGGGCCAAGGCAGCAGGGGCCATTTACTCACTGTTTTCAGGATGGCTTCGCAGGCCACATGAAACCACTTCTCGGGCCGCATCCGGCTCCTGGGCCTTGTGTTTGACATGTCTGCCATAGAAATTCAGTTGTATAATTGTTATCCAGTAACTATTTTAGTGCTGGGGAAATTCTTGGTTACTATAAAGCAAACTATTCTAATATTCTTTCTTCTTTAAGAAGCAAGATATTTGACTCTAAATTAATGTTTAGCTTATGTATGGATAGAAGAGTGCCTTATTATTACAGTCCGGCCTGTGTTGAATATCCAGGTAATAATAAACCTGATGCTGTTTAAAATATATCTAACTATATCAAAACTAAACAGTTAAATTTCTGATATTATTGCACATCCTCTAATGAACCTGGGATCCATATTAGCATGGCAGCACCCATCTGCTCCACTCTACCTGCAAAGAATATTATTGATAGGAGTCAAGTAGTTCACAATGTAAAACTCCAGGAACAGCAGTGGCCTCAAGTATCACAAACAGGAAGAAGAGTGTATGTGACCATCAGATGATAGCCAAATTGCTTTGACTTTCTTGTCCAAGTTAGGACTTTGTTTAACTATAGCAACATAACTAAGTATATTTCTAAGCACAAAACTAAAGTTAGTCTACAGAATTTTGCCACAATTGCACATATATTTTTAAGTAAAGGAAAAGGAAAAAGTTCCCTTTACTTTTTTTGCTACTAAATACAAGACTAAAGCTTTACAAATATACATCATTATAATTTCAGTATTGTTTTTTTTCTTCTGTTAAATTTTCTGGAGAACTTTGTGTTCTTTTATAAAATTACACTTGGTTGGGTATATTTTTCAAAAATATCATAACTTTGCTCATTCTAAATAGTGGTACAAAGAAATATCTCATATTGATATTCTACCAATTTGAGTTACTTAAACTTTTCAATTAGTAGTTAGGATATATTTTGTTTTCTGATTTTTGTAAAACACATACATATGCACACAAGTAAGCTCAAAGGATTAGATATAATAATTTAGAGTTCATTTTGTGCCCAGGCCTATAAATATAAAATATTTGAAGATACATTCCTTTAAGGCCTTTACGGGACTAAACTTAATCACTTTAATTCTTATTCCAATTTTCTTTGTTTTTGTTGCTTAAGGCACATTATTAATCTGTAGCTATCAGTGGTCCACTGTCACTTAAACAGAAATATTTAAATATACATTATATCTCTAAAAACTAATGTTCATATTATTACATAAAGTCCATAATAACATTAATGAATCAATACATTATATATACAATATATGCAAACTTCAATATACAAGATTTTGTTACACATGCATTTCATTAAAACAATTGTACCATTTATTTAAACCAATATAAGTAGTTTGATGTCACTCCGGGAAAGCAAAGATTGTTAGTGCATGATCCTCCATAACTGGGAGGGCAAGCAGAACATGGCACCCCAACTTTATATGGTGCTTCTCCTATCCAATTTCCCCTAAGGAGGAAAAAAACAAATAATATACATAGTATGCTGAATATTTGATAATATTCTTTATTGAATAACATAAAATATACTTTTTCCATAAGTTACCTGCATAGCAGTCTATTATTAAAGTGACCAACCATCCTCCTTTTGGAAGGACAGTCCTCCTTTTTTGAGTTCTGTCCTCCCTTGAAAAGTGTCCTCCTAAATGTCCTCCTTTTGGGAGGACAGTCCTTTTGTGAGTTCTGTCCTCTCTCAAAAATGTCCTCCTAAATGTCCTCTTTTTGACGACTAATCTGCAGGGCTTTTGTTTCCTCATAGAACGCTCAGAAGGCGTTCCGGGACCTTTTTTTAATTTTTTTTCAACTTTTGCATCTACTCCCCCTATTGGCTTTCGAAAGCCAATAGGAATTGCTGCTGAGCGCGCCAAAACACCCGGGCAGCAAACTTTGCATGTGCAAGTTGCAGGAACTTGCACCCCTCACTGCTACCCAACTACACGATCTCCTACTTCTTAGTTCCAAAGATAGCTGGAGGAGACTGGAGCGGTAAGTTTCACTTGATCTTCCCTGTTCAGTTCTACGTGGGGATACACAGGGTAGGCGGTGGTGCTGGGGGGCGGCTGGGGGAGGTGGCTGCAGGACCAGAGCCAGCGCGGCTGGTGCTTTGCAAGCCGCGGGGCTGGCTCTACGGGAATGGGCGGGGAGGCAGTGGTGCTGGGGGCGACTGGGGGAGCGGTGGTGCTGGGGGGCGGCTGGAGGGGGCCGGCTGCAGGGCCAGAGCCGGCGCGGCTGGTGCTTTGCAAGCCGCGGGGCCAGCTCTACTGGGATGCGCAGGGTGGATGGTGGTGCTGGGGGGCTGCTGCAGGGCCGGAGCTGGCGCGGCTGGTGCTTTGCGAGCCGTAGGGCCGGCTCTCCACAGCAGGGCTGCAGTGCTGGCGGGGCGGCTGTGGGTGGGGGCACGGCGGGCAGTTGACCTTCCATGGGCTGCGCCAGCTGGTGGTCTACGCAGTGCTGACCTGCGCTGCCACCACCTCACCCTGCGCATCTACATGGCCATCCTGGAGCGCCTGGCTCATAACACCTGCCTCCGCCGCCCACCCCCGCACAGTCCAGCCATGTAGATTTTTGGACAAGTGAGAAATCAAGATTGAATATTGATACTCTAGCTGCAGCACTTGCTGTAAAATTCAATATGAAGGATATTTCTTGTTCAGATATTTCCAATATATTGTTAGAAGATGATACATTGACAAAAAATATTCATTCAATGGAAAAGTACTCATTTAAATAATTAATAGGCATGTAAGCATAATTACAATATAAAATGTTATTGTTACAAATGTTTTTTATTATGCATTTATCATATTATACTGTATTCTGTATTATTGTTGCAATAAATACAATGTTTCTTTTATTTACGATATTTTTTTCTTAAATTTATTCGTGTCCTCCTTTTTGTTGTAAAAAAGTTGGTCACCTTACTATTATACAATTGCTCTTAGGTGCAGAATCTACCTTTATTCAAGCTGTTGAATTCACTTAGATTTGTAGCCCCAATTCCTATGGATATAGGACTGGATATTTATGGGTAGAACCAGAAAAATCTCATAAGAAGATAAGTTACAATATGAACAGACTGAGACAGACTCCTCCTATGTTTAACTGTAAATAAGGTAATGTATTTAAGGTAAATAAAATTTGGAGGTTGCAATTGTTTATAACCAAATCACATGTTCTTAAAATTCAATGCTTTTTGCTAGCAATTTTCAAATATATGCCAATTATTTGCTGCTGATAATTCTTGGCTCCTTTCGCTATTGTTATTTAAAAACATGATATGAGGTTTAGCAACAGGGAATTCTTATATTTCTTTGATAGATGGAATTATAACTGCCCTGATTTACTTTTACGGAATACCAACATATCCAAAGTTACATGTATAACCTATGGATAACATAACTTTATAGAATATAATCTGAATGAATTAGAAAATGAGTTACAATGATGACTTGTGTGCTGAGCCAATGTGCAACAATAGATGAAATGAAAATAGAGAAACTTACTTTGGGGCATAGTTGCATACCAGATAAATAACTCGGCTCCAAACAGCCCCCCAGACATTCATATTAGGGCAAGTGTGGATTGCACAACCTATTCTGTTGGAAGTGGCCCAAACCATCTAAAGGAATAGTAAGATTTATTTGTTAAAATTCCAGCCTGAAAATAACACACTTATCATATAGACATAAGTTTTGAACTGAAGAATGATACAGGAAAACTGAACCAATATCACCTGGGTATAATGTGTGCACATTGGTCCGTAGCATCTCATTGGACACCTTGGATTGCAGTCCTGAGGATATGGAAAGGCATAATCTTTCACTTCTTCATACCAGGGCTGTACCAGCTGGAGAATGGATCGATATCTAAGCAAAATTAAAATAAGAAAAAATGGTATTTTTGAATGTTCAGTATTACTAATGTGCCTAAGTCATATATTATATATAGACATATATATTATTTATTTTCTGAAAATTACTTCATCTCATAAAATTGCAGGATAATAGATGCTTGAAAATTAATGGCTTGAAACAAATATATATTAAATTTAATTACCTTCCAGTCCGTACAGATAAATTTTGTCCCAGAAATCTCAACAAGTAAGAAGGTCCATGGTCCCAAATGCAAGTAGCTGCCCAAGCTTCTGCCGATTTAGCTAGATTATCATCCCACACCTGGCAAAATATAATATTTTTATTTATCCTAAATACTGAAAAGGAGTTCAGAAATATCAGTTGGATTGAATAATATAATGATCAAATTATACTATTGAAGACCTGGTGGCAGACCACCCCAAAACCTAGTTACTCAATTCTTCCACGTTTCTTTGTCCAGCGTGATGAACTGATCAAACATTATGAAGATGAATTGGCTGAGCTTCAATCCTAGGCAATTTATTAGAAAGCTACACTTTTGAAAGACTGTTTATTCAATTTTATTCCATCCATTTTTCAAACGACATGCAAGCTGCATACCCCTCTGTATGAAGGCAACTGACTAGTCCAATTCATATACCAGAAACATGGATATTGAGTATTTTGTGCCTCTTCCAGTTTCTCCACATCAGCAACATTAACGTCAAATAAACTTAAATGAAGACCTCTTTACATTGAGCACAAACACACAACTTCTGTTAACAAATAGTCTTTCTTCCAAGCATTAGCATAGTATCCTAACAATCCTTTAGTGACTTAAGAAATTTCTAAACAAACATGGATTTTGAAGATTCTGCATTTCTATCAACCTTGTAGTAATGGTGAAAAAGAACTTGAAGCATAAGAAACTTGGAGAAAGACCTATGATATTATGGAGGTATTAAACAGGATAGTAATGTATTTGCCCTGATTGTTCACCCTGAAGAATCCTCATAAGAAGCATTAAGATGTCTAGTGTAGTTCTTGAAAAGATGTCTAGTGTAGTTCTTGAAATGAACACTGTCACTCTTTATGCTTCATTCTAAAATGTTCCCTGTTAGGTATCAGCAGTCAGCTGCTCCAGGAAATGGGTCAGTGGGCCAGGATCATTTTTTTTTATTTGAACCATCATTCTTCCTGATTCACAGTCCCACTTATGCAAACATGTTACAAAAAAGAATTTGTATGGAGACTATTTGGGCTTACATTGGTTTGGAAATATTCAAAAAGTTTGCAATAATTACTCTTGATTCTTTTACTACTGTTCCTATTTTACATAGAGAAAACCAAAATTCAGAAATAAATGTTCACAGCCACCCAATGAGTGTTTGCTCATGATGTTAATATAATTGGTTCTCCATCTCCTTTGCTATATATGCCAATTTTTAATAGGTCTTGTCTGTTCTACTCAATTTATTGTTTTCTCCAGCAAAATATAATTTTTTTCAAAATGAAGTTTAATTTGATTTTTGAGAAAAAGCCATTTTTGGAAATGACTTTACTAAAGAACCCTACAAATCAAAGCAAGTTAAGCTGCTACACTTTAAATAAAATTTAATCTGAGAGCAATAGTTTGAATTTAAATTACACTTAAATCTATTAATTTTATGTTTAAGTGCATTTACATGTAATTTAAATGTGGTCAAAATGTTTCCTAGGCAGGTTTGAAAGAAAGAAAATGAATCAATAATAAATAATTATAAAGACACTAAATTTGCCAACTGATTATTTATGTATGAGATCTCTTGCTTTATTAGTTGAAATTTCACATTAATCGAATTAAGAAATGCAGACATTATCATCCAGATGAAGGGGTCTCCTTAAGCCAGAGAGTTCAATACCTGCCCAGATCAAAAATTCTACTTAAAAGATCCCAGAAAGACAGCTGGAATCTGCTTCAACCCATCCAGGGAAGCGGACCTATCTCTTCTCTGAGTAATTCTTTCCATTGTCAATATTTTTTTCTAATTTGTAGACAGAATCTATCTTTGTGCAATATGATTTCATGTGTCTGTATTCATCACTGTTAAAAAGACAGAACAAATTGTTCTGTGTGATATCTCTTCAAGTATTTGAAAAGTGCTGTTATGTCATTCATTGATTCATTCATTGATTCATTCATTTATTAGTTCCTGCCTTTATTATTTTTATAAATAACTCAAGGCAGCAAATATATCCAACACACCTTCCTCCTCCTATTTTCCTTACAACAACCCCATGAGATGAGTTGGGCTGAGAGAGAATGACTGGCCCAAAATCACCCAAATGGCTTTCATGCCTAACACAGGAATAGAACTCATTGGTTTTTAGCCTTTTGCCTTAACAATTAGACCAAACTGGCTTCCTTAATCTGTCACAATGAAACATACTCTACCCCTTCATAGTTTCTAATTCTCTGATCATCTGTGTTTTCCAACACTCAATCTATTTTCAGAATCCTTAAATTATGATATCTACAAATCAGCACAGTACTTAATACAGATTTTCACCAATGCATAATAAAAAGGAAACATTTCTTGTGCTAGAAGCACTGTGTTAACATTTGCTCATCTAACTCTTGTATTACAGGTTGATTTCTGCACGAGACTATAAAAACATAGACCATAATGAAGTGAATATCTAATTCACTAAAATTGACACTCTTTCTCCTGCTGTACTTGAGGGTCCTCAGGATTAAATCCAATTTTCACAATTAGTTAGTTTACCTATTGATTATTGCTGACAGGTATCTACCCGATGAACCATTTTTTTGCACTTAGTCTTTTCAATGTATACTGTGGTTGTAGTAAAAATAAAAGAGATTCCACAGGCCTGGAATCCATTGTTATGATAAATACTTTCTAGATAATTGAGAATGAAGACAAAAAAAAGTTGAGGGTGTTTTTTCTGAGTAAACTGAAAACAATTTTTAGAAATTCAAAAGTTGTTTACATGTATTAACGACTAAATCTTCAATCTTGTCAGAATTTCTTTAGACTATATTTTTAGACAAATTTTTTATCATACAAAATCAGTACATTCAGTCAATAATTCAACCTAAAACACCATATTCATTTGTATCAAATGTGCAGGTGAATTAAGAGCATCATTAGACAAAATTAAATACAACTCACTGTGGAACTGTGGATTCCTTGGTGCTCCCTGTATTTGGTTGTTTGCTTGCAGATCTTTCCTTACCTGACTAAATAACATTATCAGTGCTAGAGAGTGTAGGGAGTGTGCGTTTGCTTTCTGTTGTAGCCTGCCTTGCCACTGTTTGTGTGGCTTTCTCCTTGGTAGTTCCTTGTTTTCTGCTTGATTGTTTGTCTTCTTATTTGTCTCCTTGATAGTTCCTTGATTACCGTATTGTTTGTGCCCTTGACTGTTTGTCCAGTGTTAATTCCTACTTATCTGGGTTTGGCTGCTGGGGAGAAAGTGTTCTGGACTTTTTGTTTCCTCTCAGATTTTTATTGTCTCTTTTGCATGGTATGTAAATGTAGTTTGCATTTCTATTGATGGTTGAGCAGCAGAAATGCTGATTATTTTACATACTTTTATATAAAGTTTGAATTCTTACTTTAATAAATATGTCATCTAATAAAGTGGAGATTTTCTCCATTTAATACTGAGAGATTAGTGGAAAACTGACTGTATTAAAGTAATAACATATACATAATTCTGATGCTTGCATTTCGCGAGAGACCTCACAGAATTTATTTTGGGATTACCAATTTTTAAAACAGTTTCCACCAATAAATGTGCATGTGGTACATATTCAACAAATCAAACCATTTTTAGAAGAACTGGGGATAGGGGAAAAGCAATGATTCCAAGGCCTTTCAAAAATAGGCCATTTCTTCTTTTTAAAATTGTACGGAAGCACTTTGTACTAAAAGGATAATTTCCAATGCCTATTCCTCAAATTGGCCTGTGATCTTTCATTATTAACACATTTCTTGGCTTGAGTGACTTTAATATTTTCAATAAAAATTTAGCTCTGCCTTGGATCTGTTCTTGCACAAAAAGCCACTATGTGGATTGTATTATTTGGTTTATGTATGACAAGGGAGTGGGTGAAGAAATCCTTTTTTAAAAATGGAATTGTCTATACCAGTGGTTCTCAACCTGTGGGTCGGGACCCCATTTGGGGTCAAACGACCATTTCACGGGGGTCGCCAAATATGGCTGTCCGCCATTTTTCCCCCTTTTCTTTGGCCACGCCCCTGGCACCTGGTGATGTATAAGTGGTTGGGGGTCACCAGAACATGGGGAACTGTATTATGGGGTCGCGGCATTAGAAAGGTTGAGAACCACTGGTCTACACATTTAAAGATGTTGATAAATTATTAAATCTTTACACGGACAAGTCTGATTTCTAGAAATATAGCTAAACATTTACATAAATTCTACCCTTGTATATTGAAGAAGTGACTAGTTCTTGATACACATATACATGCTCATGCTTACTGGCTCAAAATAAAGACAGAACAAATATAAGATTCTCACCATGATCTTGTTTTGTTTCTTGGCTGTGATTGTTAACTGAGGTCTATTCTGAGATCCTATTTTCCTTAAGAAAAGACCAGCTTGAACAAATCAGCATCTGTCTAATCTAGCATTTGCTTCACCTTTTTTTCATTGTGCAGAATTTATGCTCTTTTATTATTGTATTTTACTTTCTCCTAGATTATTTTCTTTTTTTGTTTTAGTAGTAGTAAGTTTATGTATCATTTACCATTTACCAAGTGGGGTATGACAAAAATAAGAACTCCAAATAGAGTGGGTGAAACATGCCTGGGAAATCAGTTTGAGGTGTTCGAAGCTAAATTCCTTAAAAAAAAAAAAAGTACTTGAAAATTACTTCTAAGCTGCACCTATACAAACTTTCAAATAAGTAGGTTGACAGATTTTTATTCAAAGTAAGCAGTGTTTGTAAGAAATAATGGCACCTTTTTCTGAATGCAGTGAAGCTGATTGTTAGAAGTTTAGCTAAAGAATAAGCAATTAACTTACTAGTATGTTCCATTTACTCTTATTGAATATGGTGCTATAAAAATGATGGATGAAGTACTCAATGTTTTTGAATTACACTAGGACTCAGGGAATGGAGCAGACTATATGTGTGAATAAATCATATTCATCAACAACAGCTGCTGGAAACATTTAGCACTATGGGGATCAAATAGTAAAACTAAGGATCTTTTCACCTGCATCATCTATTGTCCAAAATGTATAATTGGACTGATCAGCAATGGTTTAATTTGATATGAAGGCAGGGCTTT